ACTCTATGCATTCAGGCAAGCAGCAATAAAAATTGAATAGGAAACAGTTGCACACAATCTTTATAAAAAGAGAGACTTCCCCAGCTCAGTAATGCCAGATGAACCTGATCCTATACAGATTAAATTAAACTGCATCACGTTAACTAGACTCTGTGCAGCAAGTGAGTCCATTAAGTTTTGACTGGACTGTTTGTTCCACAACTTAAAAAAGTCCCTGTGAAGTGCTCAAACAAATATGGTCCTAAGAGCTTAGAATTTAAGGTTCAAAACAAAAGCCAGAAATAGGGTCTTAAAGCAAACAGAACATGGGGGGCCTTTGTCTGTTAAACCTCACGCTGGATGAAGTTAAACGACAAATCCACATTAACCTATCAAATGCCTTAAAAAATTAGAAAGGGAAATGGGCCTTAATGAAGTGCCACACAACCAACCTGATGTGGCTGGAGCCTGTATGGCATTCAGTGCAGTCTCAAGTCTCAGCTTTCACAAATGATGCATCATTCAATCAGAGTGGTGCATGATGTCTCATCATAGACCAAGGACTGCCACATGAGCTGTTGAGAACCAGCAGGCCTTATAAGACTCCTCTGGAGGGCCTAAAGTAACCCAGCTCATCGGTAAGTGAAGAGAAGCAAAGCAAAATACTGATTCAATGACCAGAGGCCCAAGTCCTGGACAGCATGCTATTCAAGGCAGGACTAAGTGTTCTGGAAATAGCATGTGCAAATTATAGACACGTGAAGCTCTTCATATACATAAAGAACTCCAGAACATGCACACAATTAACAAAACCATACCTGTTTTGTTAGTGTCTGCGTGAGAATTGGGACCAGATACTGTAGTGCTCCCTTAGCGTAAAATTTGCTGGTATGCTCTGGAGGTCTTCCTTGTTCTGCTGCCTAGAAAGAAACAGGGTACAAAACAAAACAATGCCTGATTCAGAAACTTTTCAGCTTGTAGTTTACAAGGAAATAAGTCTGTAGATATTTACTTTTTACTCATGAGTTTATAGTGAAGTAGGAAACTTTCCCAAAGAGAACACCTTGCAGTTATGCCAGTTCAGTATGATGCACATGTTCAGTTTGTTACTCCATGTACAAACACTGCACCTCCAACATTATACAATTACATTTAAAGAAAAGCTGCATATTCAATTATTCAGTGGCCCCCAAATAGGAAGGGCAAGAGGCATGCAAAACTCAGATTAAAGCTATGGAACTGATTGTCCTTTTACCCCTGTTATTCTGAGCATTCAACAGAAAAAGAATTCAGATCCTTGTAGAGAAAGGAGAGTTGTACCCTTACAGTTTTCATTAGCACCAGAATACATGACTGGTTGATGGTAAGTGCACCTACATGAAGATTAAGATGGCATTTTCCTTTTCAGTCATCCACTCGAGGGAGATCCTTTTGCTTTTGTTAAACAGTTTTATGTTCAGTTCTTAAACTAATTCAATAAGCCCCTTACGGGTTATACCACAGCTAGACTACAGGTGCCAGTAATTAGGTATGAGAATGCTTAACTAATGTTGCAATTTGATGGCAGAGGTTCATTACTTCTCACAGAACTGAGGAAACCCAGAAAGACAAAGAAAGCATGTGGCTTTCCATGGAAGGCTCTGCTCACCAGGAGTAAACTCGGTGACTTTAGCCCCTTCTCAATAAGAGGAAGCCTAAGTGAGGCAAGAGCTCAACATTCTGTGACGCTATGAACTTCCTTGTCAAGAACTATTTTATTGTGCAAGTTAACAGACCATATCCTCTGCAGGTAAGTCAGCCATAGGTACATCAGCAGGGTTTAAAAGTACTTAAGTTACTTAAGGGTATGCATTTTACATATGCTATTTTCAGACAACCTGGTGCTCCCAAATTATATTTTCCTTAGCAGGATATTCAAATGATATCTATATCCCCCATTACATTTCAATTGCCAGCTTTATAACTATTTTGTTAATTAGATAAAAAAAATTCCATCCCATTCTGTTTAAAATAGCTTGGCTCAAGATTTTAACTCAAGATGGACAACAAACTTGAAAAATTATAGTCCAATAAATAAAAAGCAGAGAGAGCAGTTTAATGAAAACAACTTAACAGAAATTATAATGGGAACATTTAGGCAACCTTAAATATTAGGCATTACATGGAATGCCCAACTGCATGAGTTTTTACAAGGCACTATAACTCAATTGAATCTAGGTACCAAATCAAGGGTAAAGCAAAGATTATAGAAGTAATGTGTTAGTTCATGCCATCATGATTAGGCTGCTACTAGTTCCCAATTTTGCTTGTTCAGTGTTAGCTTGGCTATCTCCATGCTATGCCGCAAAGTAAAACATAACTATAGTCAGCAACATTAGGAGAACAAAACCAACACACTGCCTTGTGTTCCATGCAGGCTCAAAGTCTCAGCTTCCATAACAGATATGCATCACTTAATAGTCAGAGTGGTACATGACATCTCATCATAGACTAAGGAATGCTATACAAGGGGCTTCGAGCCGACCGACAATTGCACCTTGAAGGAACAAGTTTCAGACCCACCTTAGTTTCTCCCTTTCAGCACTGTCAATCGCTCAAATGACGCAGGAAGTCATTAACATCAATACACAGGTGCCATTTTCAAACTCACCTCAGATGCCTCAATAGCCAAATCCATTTCCTCATCACAGACATTTGACCAGAATTCTATTCCTTGTAGAGCCACCTCATCTATCTCACTTTTCATTGCTTCAATTGTGATCTTCAGAATATGAAATGGAGACAAAGAGCATTTTAGTACATCATTCTTCCTCAAAATACAACCCCCCCCCACCATGCCAAAACAGCCTGCACATTTCAGAATGGTATGACTTGACCATATGGAAGACTTCTTAAAAAAAAAAAAAGTGTACAACACCTAGTTACCTGCCATCATATGATTATAGTATAATATTCTAACCCAGGGATGTCAAACTCATCCTGCCCATGGGCCAGATCTAGCTATGGAGCCCAGGTGAAAAACAGTTAATGCAGATGCTGCTCATTCCTTCCTCCCTTCCCCCACCTCTTCTGACATGTACTGCCAACAGGGCTTGCCCAGATTTCAGCAGCAGGTTCTGTGGGCCACATGAAACAGTTCCATGGGCTGGAAGTCTGACTGACACCCTTGTTCTAAAAGATGCTTCAAGCCCTAAGTTATTGTTTGCATAAACTTCTTTGGAAGAGATGTTCTGGAGCCTCCACTACAAAACTTTCATATGGGGATTTATACGTTTATAATATTTAGGATTTCTCTCTTATGAAGGCATTATCCCAAGCTCTGAAGCACAATTCAGGCAGGGTATACGATAAAAGAAAACTTAGGGCCTGGGAAAGATCTGCAGTTTAGTGACGTTTGATTTTTTTCCCTGTATACTTCATTATTTATCTAAAGTTATTGGCATCTTAATGTGCTATTAAAATAGAACCTGATCTACATCGTGTAAAGCTTTCCACAAAGACGTAAATAAACTGTCTTATTTCCTCTGCTTAAACCTAGAGATTCCATTGCTCTATAGTAAGAACATCAATTTCACCCACCTCTATCACCTAATGCCACATGTTAGTTAGCTATACTGCTCCATTCCAGAGGGGGAAAAAAAAAAAAAAAAGTGTTCAGGGGTTCTTCAGGCTGCTATAAAAATGAAAGTGGACCTCCCTCTAGTCCCTTGGAAAATAAATACATCCACTCAAAGCAGCCACCACTCTAAGCAGCTCCCCATAAATATTTAGATTTAGACTTTAATGCCACATGTCTGTAAACTGTAGGCACTACAGAGATCCAGATGCAGCCCACCTTGCAGCTCTACAGCACCACCAGGTGACTTGTAAATCAGCAATTTTTGAAAAAGCTCAAACACAACCGCCCACCAACAGCAACTGCCACAGATATGAGAGGAGAAAACAGATCCCCAATGAGGAAGGGGCAAAAAGCCAATTTCCTTTGTATACAAGTAATGCAGCAGGGAAGCGTCTCCTTAAAATAAAGCTAGCAGAGAGCAAACCAACAGGAAAAACAAAGGATGCAAATTTTGGACTACCTATAAAAAAAATTACCTATATATTACCTATAAAAAGGATTAGTTATTTAGTTTAGTAGTTTTGCTTAACACACAGGAAAAGGCTTCACAAACATAATTCCATATCTGCTATGAACAGCTTGGGTGCTTTCATATTCAAATTTAGTTGCATAAAATCTAGAAGTAAGAGTTCTAAATTGCATTACTAGTTTCACCTTTAACAAAACCTGGAACTAATTTAGTACTTCTGTATCTTAGCTTTGCTTGTCTATGGGATGCTATACCAGGAGGGTGGTGTAGTAATTTCCATATTTTCACCCCCTCCCCACTCTCTCTCCCCCTCCCTCCCTCTTCCCCTAAATAAAAAACATACCTTTATTTTGGAAGGCAGAGTATTGGAAAAATGTATTTTCTAGAGTTGTGACAGACTGCATGACAGTGCACGCCCTCTGGGGAACACAGTGCATTTAGGAAGCGTAGCACTGGGAAGTTCTTGGTGCCAGGTGCCTCACCAAGACTGTCTCCTGGGATACCACCCTTCCTGGACACTATGTTTATGACAGAGTAACTACACTAGGTCACAAAGGTTAAGCTGACAAGGACAGCAGCAAGACTGCTAGTTCTTTATTGTAAGTAGTTCTTGATATAAAAGTTCTTGTAAATAAAATGTTGTTTCCATATCATAAGCCTCAACAAGATACCACCAGCAGCTCACCTGCTGCCTCATGTTGTGTTGTATGTGACAAAATATGGTATCGCCTAGGCAAGGTGGTCTCTGTATTAGGATTCATTCTTTACAGATGAAAAGCACTACAGAACTGCAAAAATAAGAGTACATACTGCAGTTAAGCCACTCAATTTTCAGTCTGTACTACTCACAGCAAAGAGAGCCGGACCCATATACGTCTCCATATACTGATAGTACAGGGACATTATCTTCACCAAGTTCTGCAAGGCAGCCACCCGTACCTGTCGGAAAAGGAAAAAGAACAAAGTGGTATCATTCCTCAAAATAGAGAGCTCACCGCAGTTGCATGCAAATATTAGAGATTTAAACAACCATTTCTTGAACTAGTGCATTTATGATGCTTGAGAGTTCTAAATCCAATTTCTTGAAGACAACATGACAATTCAAGACATACCACCACTACTCACCCTTGTATCTGGACACTGCGTTGCTTCACAGACAACTTGCATAATAAAGTGCCTTTCAGACTACAAGAGAATAAAGCAGGAGAATAAAGCAGAATTAGAATGGTGTTATACAACCAAAAAACTGTGAAAGCCTTCTTACAGAGATGACATTTTGATTCTCTGATTAGAATTGCACCTTATCCTTTCACTGTCATCACCAAAGACCACAGCTTTACTACATGAGTGAGGCAGGGCACAGCATTTTATTACTTTCCCCAAACGATAAGTGGTCTGTCTGCTGCAACTGTAAATCCCAGCTGAATTTCTGAAGTATGTCAGTCTAAACAGAAAAATGGGTCCCAGCATTAGATGCGGTCAGTTAATAAGATTTAACACACACATGTGCACACACAAAGCTATGGTCTTCTAAAATGTTTGTGCAATCAGTACAAGGTCTTAAAACATGATTTAGCTAGAACAATTTAGTGTTCTGGAAGGTCATACAAGGGGCACAAGCTATTCTTTGCCACTAAATTTAATATTTATCATTTCTGAGCCCAGTTAGAAGATTGAAGTCCAAATGGAAGGCACCTTACCATCTCAAACTGAACACCAAATGAGACCACAGATTTCAAGGACATTAGGGCTGGAAGGGACCTCGGAAGATCATCGAGTCCAGCCCCCTGCCCGAGGGGCAGGAAGTCAGCTGGGGTCATAGGATTCCAGCAAGATAAGCATCCAAATTTCTCTTGAAGGTGTTCAATGTAGGTGCTTGAAATTACAATTACACTATTAGCTGTATGGCTGGCTAAAAACTCATTAAAAAACCTGGAGGGAAGTTCGGTATTAAATTCCACCCTCCCCAAAATCTTCAGTAGGAACCAGATGGGTGTACTTAAGACAAAAAGCAAGCAGAGACCCCCAGTTCAATGTTTTGGTAAAATTTTAACTTTTTTTCCTCCTCCCCACCCATTTTTCAGATCCCGAGTCAAAGCCTGAACTCCTGCCGCACAAGAAAGGAAATGCTGATCCAAGCTTGGGCTCCCACAACAGCATTACAGAGCAAAGTCTGATTAGAAAGCAACATGTTCAACAGGCAAAAACCCTAAAGGTCAGGTCTTACTTATCCAAAAGTAGTCAGCGATGTTTCGAAGTTTAGTAATTCTATGGTATTTCTGCCTCAGAAAGGGCATGAATCCAGGTCTCAGCCACAATGGTATTATGCATCAAGTAGAACTCAGCGTGGTGCATGATTTCTCATCACAGACCATGGATTCAGGACTTACCTTACACCCAAAACTTCTCCTTCCTTCACTTACCTCTTTGTCAAAGTTTGCTTTGGTAAATTCCAAAGAGTTCAGGAGTGCATTTGTAGCTGCTAGCTTCACATTGTTACTGGGCTCTTCTTTTCTCATTCCCTGGATAATGGCCGTCAGGATCTCATTGGATTTGTCCTGAAGCTGCTCTGGGTCCTGAAAGCAGAAGTAGGCAGTTGAAGTTATTTGTAGCTGTGCAGATACTTGCTCCTCCATACACAAAGGGTTTTACCCTCATCTCCCTCCCCAACAGTGCCATACCCAGTTCTACAGATGGGAAAGATTAAACCTTTAAAGGCCAAAAGGCCCTTTGTTTACTAGTAATATCATAAAGCAAGTATGAGCACTTTAACACCCCACTGCGACTCCAAGGCAGCATAGTCGAAACAGAAAAAGGTGCAGTCAGCTGCACCTGAATGGAATTCCAGAGATTACGTCTCATGTACCAAATAAACTACACTGCTGCAAACATGGGGTGGTCCCAAGGCATGCTGATCTAACACAGCTACTAGGCTCTTACAAGGTAAAACTCTTATCACTTGACTAGACACACACAGTACTCTGTGACCACAGTATCTGTAAGAGACCCACACCCAGTGAATCTGTCAGGAGACCAATAGCAGGGATGATGACTAATCAAGAGGTAGCAAATGTTTACCACTCAGGACTCGAGGGACAAAATAATGCATATAGTCTAATTAAAAATTACAATGCAGGAAAAATTAATCTCAAATTAGTTAACAAGGTCCCAGCAACCACATCTAAATTCTTTGTTGGAATTTATGCAACAAGAGATCCTAAAGCCAACATTATGCATAGAATGCCAACTCAATGCCACATTAAAACACACTTATGAGTCTAAGTAGGAACACACTTAAAAAACCTGTTCAACAATCTAGGACAACCAAAAAACCCATTACAAACTAGTTAAGTGCAATTACTTGTTGTCTTCCAGACAAATGACTGACATGCACTTAGAACCCTTCAGTGTATATTAGAACCAATCCTTCACCCAAATCCCCCAAAACACTCCCTACCCCCGCAAAAGAGAATTGATCTGGAGTGTCGGCCCCCCCGCCGCCCCCCGTCTGGCTGTATGACTGCAGCTTAATCACCTCTGCATAAATTCAGGATCTCTCCCTCCCAGACCTGTTTGGAGAGAAGTAGACTTATGACTTCGTTCTTATTTTTCAAATTAAGCTAGTCAACACCACAAAACCTTTAAACACTCTGTGCAGCAAGAGGCACACTTATCTTTTCTGGTGGTATTCAATCTGTTTTTCCCTTTGGTCTCTCTTCTGCCTTATTCTGTTGGTTTCTTCCATGCCCTATCCTCACTGACACTTTGATACAGTTATTCACTTTACCCTACGAGGCATTCCATGACTGACACCTCCCTCTTCAAGAGCAGAGCACTTTGCAATCTTATACTTTATTAACACATCTCCGTCTATCAGGGAAGCTTCCCAAACTGTCTCCAACATTTCATCCTTTCTCCTGTAAAAGGGGCATCACCCAAAACATCCTAAATTCTGTTCGAGAGGAAGTATTGGGGAAGTAGGCTTTTCCTGTTACATACTAAGAGGCAAGTTCAGCTACAGGTTGAAGAGTGAACGAAGGCTTCCTTTGTTTCCTGCT